TAGTGGTTCAGACATTTCATCGAACACCTTTTGGGCGCGGAAATATCTTGGCTCAATTTCCAGTTGATCAGAAAGCAATAGGCAATAAGAACAACTAATCCATAAGGATCTATAAATCAAAGTCAACCACCTAGCATACTGAAAATTCTAAACTACTCTAACCTATCCTCAGAAACCTACTCACTACTCAGACATCATTGCAGAGAACATAAACGATGAATAGAATGAAAACATAATAGCAACATACTAATAGCAAGATGACAACAGGATGAACAACTTAGTAAACGAAAATGGAAAGCAAATACTGAATACTGAATAGATTAAGAGAAATCCGGATTACAAAAACTTCAAGAACACAGTGTCTGCGGAATAAAACTTAGTCAACGAAAATGCAAAATACATGCTATTTATAGCGAAATATTCTGAAATCCTAATACTCAAAACTACGCAGTATTAGGACGGATTAAGAACGGTACTCGACCCAGGTGGTCGAGTGAATGGTCGAGTGATAAGCTGGAGTCTTCTTCTATTCCTTGTGCTCGAGTGTCTGGTTGAGTGCAGAATGGAGAAGACTCTGAAGCTGACAGTCGAGTATGATGTTGAGTGATAGAGATGGTGGTACTCGGCTTAGTGGTAGAGCGATTGATCGAATGGATGATGATGGTGATACTCGACCTGTTGGTAGAGTGATTGGTCGAGTGAATGATGATGGTGGGAGTCGGCCATGTTGGTAGAGTGATTGGTCGAGTGAATGATGATGGTGATACTCGACCTGTTGGTAGAGTGATTGGTCGAGTGAATGATGATGGTGAGACTCGGCCATGTTGGTAGAGTTATTGGTCGAGTGAATGATAGAGTGTCGCGGTCGAGTGATTTGTTGTAGAGGTTGTGGCTGAGTACTTCAGGAACTCGAGGATGACTGTACTCGAGCTTGTGGTCGAGAATGTTGATTTGATCAGGTCCACTTCTTCCAATTAGCTCACCAACAGTTCCAAATCACCTGAAAACAACACAAATATGCAATATGCATGCAAAACTATCCTAGACATGCAAAGTGATGACAAATGGATGTTCAAAACGTATAAAATGCACACTTATCACTTTCCTTTCTAGGATAGGAAAAGAAAAAGAAGAAATGGTTATTCCGATATGTTAGGAGGCTGAAGAATATCGATGAACTAAAAACCATCCTCAAGGAGGTGTGGAATGATGACCCTCTATCCTCAATTGAAGAGAGATAAGGAGCCTGCAGAGGGGCTATAGTACGATGGACAAGAGAGAAGTAGAGGAATAGTCAGGTGGAGATAGAGCACTTTAGAGAGCGGTTAGAACATGCAATGGTAAGCCATGTTCATGATGAGTCCCTCCTTCTTTTGATTAATTCAGATCTAAATGCTGCTTATCAAAGAGAATAAGAGTTCTAAACACAAAGAAGTAGGCAGAACTTGCTCACTTTAGGAGATCAAATTCTGGATTCTTTCATGCGGTGACAAAGGGGAGAACCTGTATCAATAATCTCACAGTTTTGGAGGATGCAAATGGGACCACCTTTTATAAGGATAGCCAGTTTGCCTCAGTGATCTCAAGTTGTTACCAGGAACTCTTTTCATCAGATCTGACTTGGCCTGCTAAGATAAGGAAATTTGTGGAAGATGCAATTTGTCCTCAAGTCTCTGAGGAGATTAATTCAGTTCTGATAAGGGATCCTTCCTCCCTGGAAATCAAGGAGGCTTCGTCGACATTCACCCTGACAAAGCCCCAGGCTCCAACGGTTTCTCAGCTAGTTTCTTTCAGTCAAACTGGGACTTTGTTGGCGATGCCCTAGTAAAGGAAATCCAAGGTTACTTCTCAACCAGTGTACTCCAAGCTTCAATCAACAAAACTTTTATCAGGCTTATTCCCAAAGTTCAAGGGCCAAGGAGGGTACTGGATTACAGACCAATTGCTCTCTACAATGTTGTGGATCAGGTTTTCTCCAAAGTGCTAACCAGAAGACTCAAGACAGTCCTGTCCCCTCTAATATGTGAGAACCAGTCTACTTTTGTGGCTGGTAGGGCAATCTTAGATAATTTGCTTATCACACATGAGATGCTTCATTACCTTAAGGTTTATAGGGCTCGAAAAACGTCTTTTTAGCTATCAAAACAGATATGTCTAAGGCTTATGACAGATTAGAATGGGAGTTTATTCAGGCTGTTCTTGATAGAAAGGATTTCCATCCAACTTGGGTAAATTGGATGATGTAGTGTGTGAAGACAATCTCTTATTCCTTCATCATTAATGGAGCTGCTATGCGTGATGTTATTCCATCCCGAAGGCTATCAACCTGGGCTATCAAAGCATTTTGCTTCTCTCGGACTGCCAAGTACTCACCAAGGCAATCTCTTCGAAGTCCTCTCTCTCTAAAATCTTTGAGATCCTCCTTGACCTAGCAGATTTTGTTAGTCGTTGTAGTTCCTTTAATTGTTGTTTCATTCCTTGCTCTTCCAATAGAGTAGCAGATGCTCTTGCAAAAGACTCCGTTGTTGTATTCTCAAACATTTGATTAATACAATGCGGTTTGACAAAAAAAAAACTAAACATTTATTAGATTTTATAAATTATAATTTAACACTAAATTTTTGTTATTTTTATATTAAAATTTGACAAATTGATCAAAATAAACAAATTTTAATATTGATATATAATATAAGCTTGATAACACTGTATTTTACTCATTTTAGGCATGTATCTATCATCATTTAGTTTAGTGATCACTCATTGTTTCATATCATTTTGCACCACATTTAGCTTATTTTGCACACTTAGGCATTTAGGATCACTTTGCATACATATTACATGTTTTGGTGTGTTTTCAGGTGCACAAGGAGTTTACAAAGGCAATCACTCGATCCTCTACTCTATCAAACCAAGAGGGAAGCAGCAGCGCAAACCACTTGGCCATAACACTTTATCAAGGCAGCTATGGAGGAAGCAGCAGACAACCACTCGACCCTTTTACTCGATCCTCTACTCGACCAAATACTAGATCAAGGGCAACCCATTTTACAAGACTTGTTGATCGTGCAAAGCGCCTTCGGATCGTCCTCATTTCCCACTCAACCAGACAGCTGAACATAAGAAGAGGAGAGGAAGAAGCAACTACTCGACCAATTGATCACTCGGAGCATGGAAGCAAAGGCGTGGACTTTGTAGCACCCTCTTTACTCGATCCCCAAGATCTTCAAGTCTCTTGTCTTCTAGTGAATCTAGGGTTTTCGAGATTTTAGTATAAATAGGTTCTTTGGGGTTTGTCCAAAGAACCAAGCTTTTATTCTGTAGTTTTTCTTTGTGTTTTAGAATCTTGAAATATTAATTACTCTTAATCTATTTAGTTGTTGTATTTAGTTCTTTGAGCAAAGTTGTTTATCTTGTTTAGATATACATTTTGATATGTTTAGAGTAATTTATGGGTTTGTGTCTTGATTATGTTGCTTGAGTAGTGATTAAAGTTCTTGAGGATGGATAGATTAGGGTAATCTCTAGGATAGTCAGGTGGTTAAGATTAGGTTATATCCCTTCTTGATTCGTTGGCCTTAATGCTTATTTCACTCAGTTCAGACTGGAATTCGACCCAAAAGACGTTCAAATCGATGCCTGATCTAGGAATTCTAGAGATTTGTAGATTCTATCCCAAGAGATTGGATGTTTAGACTACTTAATAACTTTGATAGATTGTTCCTTAAAGCATGCTTTGCTATGTTTCATCAACGAGAGTTGAGATTAGGAACTGGTAAAGTTATGAGGATCATTGTCACGAGAGTGGATTGATCTGGTTTTGAATCTATTGTCTAGGGTATTTGCCTTTCGCCTGTTAGCTACCTGATGAACCCTAGAGTTGCCCTTATCAATGAATTCATCCTTAGGACTTCTATTCTTCTTAGATTTATTTGTATTCACCCCTTGATTGCACTTTTATTTACCTGTTATTTCATTCACCTGTTGAGTTACCTGTTATTTCATTCACCTGTTGAGTTACCTGTTTTTGCATTTTATTTCTTAAATTTGTTACATGTTGGTTCCACTCGACCCAATGATCGAGTAGGGCACTTAAGTTCTCACTTTTGTTGTTTGAATCCTTTAGGATTGTTACTAGAATCCCACCATCATTATAACATGGCTTGATTTAGTTGCTTCTATACACATCTTGATTGTTAGCAATAACAGTGGATTGGTTTGACACCCCCTATAGCTGCATCGACATGTTAGTGTTTAAGGAGAAATTGAACTAAACATCACATTTACCATAGTTAGGCCTAAAAATCTAACTATCAATTTGACGTCGTTGCTAATTCATTGTTGCATGGTTACATTCAAGATACCAGAAAAAGTTAAGATCAATTTCTTTTACATTACTCAAGTTACTAACTCATCTTTTCGTCTGCTTGTTTTTGTGGTATAGGTACTAATATTTGTGCATGCACACTCGGTCCAAAGGATCTGCACACCTACTATCTTTCAAAGACAGAATTGACAGACTAGCTCGTGAGTTATAAGAAACAAAAGCAAAGGCAGACTGTGATCAACAAAGACCAGCTCCTACGGATCAACAGAAAAGAGGAGTTGAGATACAAGACCCACCTAATGTTGATCAACCAAGAAACATTGGTGCTTGTGATGTCCCAAGGAATCATCACCAAAGACAAGGGATAGTGCCACCACCTGTTCAGAACAACAACTTTGAAATCAATAGTGGTCTCATCTCCATGATCCAAGGAAACAAATTTCATGGTTTTCCCATGGTAGACCTCTTGGACCATCTTGACAGTTTTGATAGGCTCTTTAGCCTTACCAAGATCAGTGGTGTCACTGAAGATGGGTTTAAACTAAAACTATTTCCCTTCTCTTTGGGAGACAAGGCACACCACTGGGAGAAGACTCTGCCTCTAGACTCCATCAATTCATGGGATGATTGTAAGAAAGCTTTTCTTGCCAAGTTCTTCTCTAATGCTCGCACAGCTAGATTGAGGAACGCGATCTCTGGCTTCACCGAGAAAAACGATGAAACTTTTGTGAAGCTTGGGAGAGGTTTAAAGGATACACCACTCAGTACCCCCATCACAGTTTTAAGAGAGCTTCCATATTGAGCACACTCTACAGAGGAGCTTTACCAAAGATCCGCATACTGCTCGACACTGCTTCCAATGGAAACTTCATGAACAAGGATGTAGAAGAAGGATGGGAGTTAGTCGAAAATCTGGCAAAATGTCATGTATGCTACAATGAGGATTATGATCTCTCAGTGAGAGGAACTGGAGAAACTGAAGATAGACAAAAGAAGGATATCAAGGCCCTCAATGAAAAGCTAGACAAACTCTTATTGACTCAGCAGAAGCAGATACGCTACATTACTGATGAAGAGCACTTCCAAATGCAAGAAGGGGGGAATGATCAAATTGAAGAGATCAACTATATTCAAAACTAAGAAGGGTTCAACAAGGGCTACAACAACTACAAGCCCAACCCAAACCTCTCATACAGAAGCACTATGTAGCCAACCCCCAAGATCAAGTGTATCCTCCGCAACAGAATCAGTCTAAGCCTTTTTGTTCAATACAACCAAGGTTATGCCTCTAAGCAGAGTTCAATGGAGGATACCAACAGCCAAATCAACCACCAGGGTTCACTCAACAACCAAAGCAGACAGCATGAGCACAAGATCCTGACATAAAGCAGATGCTTCAACAAATCATTCAGGGTCAAACTACTGGCGCTGTAGTTCTGGAAAAACGATTGGCTTAGATAAATAGTAAAGTTGATTGTTCCTAAAATGAGCTAAGAAGCAAATATGAGGACCTAATATCCAAGATGATATACAAGGAAAGCCAAGCTGCTTCCAATACCTCCTCCAAGTATCCAGGGCCACATTCAGGAAAAGCCATTCACAAGCCTAAAGAATATGCACATGCAGTTACACTTCGCAGTGGCAAGAAACTGCTCAATAATCAGACCAAAGAGAGATCACTAAGGATAGTGAACTTCAAGAAGGGGAGGATCCACATAAAAACGAAGTTCAAATTGATGAACCAACTAAACTTGATCAGCCTTCAGCTTCACTCGACCCTCTACTCGATCGAGCAAAGCTAACTTTTGAAGAAAGAAAAGATGCGGTTGTAGAAAAGAATAAAGAAATTTGCTCCGCCACCCTACAAACCGACGGTGCCTTTCCCTGGAAGATTCAAGAAGGAATTAACAAAGAAATACAAAAGCCCTTTTTGATAAGCAGCTAAAGGAGATTGAATTAAGAATGCCATTAATGGATGCCTTCATGCTCATTCCACACTCACACAAGTACCTCAAAGATCTGATTATGGATAGAATCAAGGAAGTGCAAGGAATGGTGGTAATAGGCCATGAATGCAGTTCTATCATCTAGAAAGGCATAATACCAAGGAAGTTGGGAGATCTTGGATCCTTCACCCTACCTTGCTTAGTAGGACCTTTATCTTTCAGTAAATGTCTATGTGATTTTGGGTGCCTCAATCAGTCTTATACCCCTATCCGTAGCAAGAAGACTGGGTTTCAGTAAGTACAAGTCATGCAGCATCCAACTGATATTAGCCGATAGATTAGTCAGAATCCCCCATGGAGTCCTGGAAGACCTACTTGTCAAAGTCGGATCAATAGAAATCCCCACACTTTTCATAATACTGGAGATGGATGAGGAGCCGAAGGACCCATTAAACATAAGAAGACGATTACTGGCAACTGCAGGAGCTATTATCGATGTCAAAAAGGGAAAGATCGACCTAAACCTCGGAAAGGAGATGAAGATGACCTTCAATATCAACAAAGCTATGAAGAAACCAATAATTAATGGACAAGTCGTTTGGATCAAAGAATTGGATAGATTGGTCGACGTATTACTGGAAGAGCTTACGGAGAAAGATTACTTGGCAAGTGCTTTAACCAAGGCTCCAAAGGTTGACCGTAAGCCTCTTCCAAAAGGTCCAAGGTACGCGTTTCTTGGTCCAAATGATACCTACCCTGTCATTATCAACAATGGATTAAGTGATGAACAAGTGCATCAATTGTTAAATGAGCTTAGAAAGTATAGAAAAGCAATTGGGTATTCATTAGCTGATATTAAAGGAATTTCACGTACTTTATGTACTCATAGGATCCACCTCGAAAATGAATCATATACTAGTGTTGAACCACATAGGAGATTCAATCCGAATTTGAAAGATGTAGTTAAAAAGGAAATTCTTAAATTACTTGATGTTGATATCATCTACCCAATTTCCGATAGTACCCAATTTTCAGAGAAGCATGACTTCAATATTCTCGGATTTCATTGAGGAGATAATGGAGGTTGATATATCCTTATTTTCACTGATTTCTTCTATGTTTTAGGTTTATGATTATGAGTCTTTATGTTATTTCTCGAGTCTTTTTAGTGTCTTTTCAGGTATCTTATGCATTGGGACAACAATGAAGATAAGGAGACATTTTGGAGGAAGAGCCAAAGGAAAGGAAGCTAAGGACGAATTTGGATTCAGAAATCAGCGAGGAGTGTCGATCGACACCAGTTTCGGCCCAACAAAGTCCTAGACGCTTTCGAGTTTACAAAGAGAAAAATTGCCCCAAAAGACTTCCTTATTTGCATTATTGGTCCCTGGACGTTTTATAGGGTCTTTATATTGTTTTTAGACCTAGTTTTCATTATTATCACGTTTTATCATCAAGTTCTTATCAAGCTTTTTGAAAACCCAGTTACTGAGAGACATAAGCTATTCAACGAGTGTTTTCAGAGATTGATTCAGATCTTAATACAGTGAAGAGATCCTTTCTTTCCCTTAATCTATTTGCTGTGTTTATGTTTTCATACCCAAATATGTTGTTTGCTTCAATCAATATGTCTGAGTAATCTGCTTGTTAGGAATAGTGTTTCTCATTAGGGATTCATATGGTTTAGTAGATTGCCCCCTTGCTACGTTATCTATAGAATTCTTCATCTTTAATTATGCTTAATGCTAGATCTAGAGTAATTAACTAGATCTTGAATCTAGACAATAGATATGCAGCCATAGGTATCTGTAGTTAGATCGATTATTTGATGAGCCTGGTTTTTAGGTGTGTAATAAAAATCGGCCTAACTACTAAGGTGAACAATCAAACTCGTTAAGAATGCTTATTTAGGTTGATAATGCCTCGGCTTCTCCGGTTATTCTTAGCTATAGATATAGGGAGTTTCGCGGAACGCGACCGGTTATTCCATAATTAGAGTTTGAGTTTAAGAATGGTTCGATAACAACCTAGCTTTCATTAGATCTACTAACCAATAGCTTTCTGAGAATACCATGTTCCTAGCTCTTTATTTAATCGTTTGCAACACAATCATCCTGCTGTCTTTTACTTTGTTTTCTTATTATTTCAATCATACCCTACTAGCTTAATCTCGATATTCTACTCACTGTTTGGACAAAAGAGCTCCATGAATTCGATCCTTAAATACTGCAATTGATCTCTTATTTGAGAGAATAGTTCTAGGTAATTTGAACCTTATCAAATTTGGCGCCATTACCGAAGTTCTTGGAAATCATCATTGAGTTTAGTTTAGAGATTTCTTCTAGTTTTTACTTTTATTTTGTTACTCACGCGTTTCTTATTTTGTTCTTTTATGTGTTTCATGTGTATGCCTAGGCAAACAAGGAGCACACAACAGAAGGAGCTTATCAACTTGTCTGTTCTGGACTTGGGAAAACTTGAACGCACCAACCGAAAAACTCAGAGATTAGCAATGGCTGACAGAGTCATCAGAGTTGATGCAGAAGGAGTTTTGAGAGATGAGGATGGACAAGCCTACAATGAGGCTGGTCACAGATTGGATGATCATGGACTCATCCTACCCGAGGACGTCGATGCAAATCTGGCGCGCCTCAACGCGTTAATAGCTGCCAGAGACGTAGAAGGGCTCGTTGTCGATCGACACCATCAGGAGCAGAACGAAGAAGCTATTGGTGTCGAACGACACAAAAGAGGTGTCGATCGACACCCACACCAGATTCGTGCAGCTATTCCTCCAGCTACGGAACCATGTCGTACTCGTGGGGATTTCAACAGGCCTAACCTGTTCTATGCTAATCGATCAGCAATCGTACCCTCACCCTTCCAGAAGAACGACTATGAGCTGAAGCATGGCTACTTTGCTCTAGTTGGTTAGCACCCTTTCCATGGCTTATCTCATGAGCAGCCCATGGACCATATCGAGCGCTTTGAGAAACTTGTTCTGAGTATCAAGGCTAATGGAGTCTCAGAGGACTACCTACTGTGCAAGCTCTTCCCTTATTCACTTGTTGGGGAAGCAGCTTCTTGGCTGAAACAACTTAAAGAAGGTTCCCTCAAGACTTGGAGAAGCATCAAGATAGCCTTCTTGAACAATTTTCCCGATGATGCTAAGTCTGAGGAGTTGAGAAACAAGCTGTCTACCTTCACACAAGGTCCAGCTGAAGCTTTCAAGGCTGCTTGGGTTCGTTTCAAGGAGTACAAACGAGACTGCCCACATCATGGTTTCAGTGAGGTACAACTTCTAGGCACCTTCTTCAGAGGAGTCGATTGGAGATACCAGATGGCTCTAGATGTAGCGAGCAATGGTAATTTCAACACACGTTATCCAGCTGATGCTACAGCCCTGATAGAGAACCTCGCTTGCAGCAACAGTACCAAGAATGCTGACTTTGAGAGGAAGAAGATTGCTGGAGCTATTTCAGGCAATCAAATGGCGGAGGTGAAGGCTAAGCTGGATTCGGTTCATAACTTGCTCACAGGGAAGAAGCATGTCCACTTTGCATCTGAGGAAGAGACTATTGAGCATGAGCCTGAGTCAGAGGAAGGAGTGTTCTAAATAGATGGTCAGGGCTACAGGAAGTTTGGGCAGCCACATGGCAATTTCAATGGCAACAGATTTGCAGGGAACTAGGATTCCTCCAACTACACTCCAAAGCCTGCTTTCCAGAAGACCTTTCTTCGTATCAACTTCCACAGGACCTATGGTATTTCATCTTACCAAGCCCCCCCCCCTCCACCCTCGGCAGAGACCCCCTCCACCCTCAGCAGAGACAAGA